CCGCAGCCCCCCCCACTATCCTGAAATGAAGTCTAACACCCACTGCTCCATCTGACCAGCCCTGTTAACCTGCACCTCCCATAATTTTTAGAACCTTAAGCTATATCGCCACAAAAAATTCACGCTTCACCTCTCGCAACCCCACCACAGTTAGAATGCATATTCGCCTCCGCCCCCGCTCAATTTAGCACCCCCCCGTAAGACACCCCTCTCCGCACACTTAGGTTTATTTATTTCTTCCTACTTTACCTAGCTTTTTTTCGAATTCATTTTTATTTTCTCTAGATGTAGGCACTTTTTGTTTTTTTAATGTGCTTTTTTTTAGCAATTTTGAGTAGAACCCCATAGTAATCCAACTGAATCAGTATACAAATACTTACCACCCTATATCCATTGCGTAAAGCCCGCCCCTGATCCCCCCCAAGTGCCAGCCCACAGCACAAGCCACTCACCACACCTTCCCCCGACACAGTACGTCCCCCTTGCCCCCTGTTCCTTACCACCACCCCTTTTCCTCCATCTCATACCTAGTCGTTCCTCTTGCCCCCCGCTAGCGACTCCCCTTTCTGACGACACATACACACCGAAAACCCCATCACTCATCCCCCCCCACCCCGCCTCATGTTACCGCAACCACACAACCTGCGCAACCATCCTACACCGGACCCACACTAGTATTTCTTTAACCCCCGCAGCGCCCCGCTCAGAACAGTCACGGACGCACTTTTCCGCGCCTCCCCTCCCTCCCCCGGGGCACCCCCACCCTGCACTGCTCCTGCGCCTCCACCCCCACGAGTCTGTGTGCTACGCCTCCGCCCCCAATCACTTTCCTTTCTCATACCATTTGTCCCCTCACCTGGGTCCCCTCCTGAGACCCAATACCTCTGACCTGCCGCCAAGGGGACCGCCACCCTCCCCTCCACTAGGCTCGCCTTGCTCCCCACACCTCGCAGACGCCACTCATCCACTTCCTTTCCTCCCCCCGCCCCTTCTCCGCTTTTCATAGATGTGACCCCTCACCATCACCACCCTTCAACAGCCCCCCCCCCACACCTCGTGCCCGCCCCACTGTCGATTGCGTCGTCGATCTTGACTGGACCGTTCGTTGTCTTTCCCCCCTCTCCTCTGCTCTTTGTTCCTGGCTTCCGTCTCATTCCCCCGTGCACCTTTCCTCTTTTCACATCCCCTCCGACCCCCGCCCTTGCAGTGGTTCGACTCCCTCCCCCCGTGGAAATCCAGACCTCCTGTATTATTTAGTTTACTACGTATCCTACTCATTTCATTCCAAAAACAAAGGAACCACCCACCATCTCGTATATAGAATTTCCCACCTGCTTGCTCTCTTTAGATTGAATTCCTTTGTTACAGCTTTTTCAATTATTATTCACACACACCCACACGGCCACCCCTGACACCTGTCCACACTAGTACACCACCGCTGACCGAAGCCGGCCCTTTAGGTTTCATATAGCCACTGTGGCGACACCCCCAACCACCCCCCCCCACCCCCCTCGAACCCGAATCCGAGCACCCGCAGCCCGAATGAAGAAAAATTTATTAAAAAATTCTAGACCGGCACCAACTCCCAGCACCTCCCCCCCACCGACACCCGGCACACTCCAGAGAGATCGTTATTATTGAAGAGATTCTCTCCCCTGTCATCCTTCCCACAATGACCCACACCACTACTGAGGACACAACGAGTAGTTTTGTTTCTCTCTTCGTTGAGGGGTGCGGTGTTACATACACCAGAGACATTATTGAGATCCTAGGATGAGATAACTTTTAGGGCAAGTTTTCGGCCCACCTGTGAGAGGAGGTCTTTCGTTCAGTAGATCTTTGTTTTGAGAGAACTCGCAACTTGAGTTTGGGATTTCTTCTATGCCAAAAGACAATTGTGTGTGTGAATTTCCTCATGCAGGATCTACCTTCCTGTACCAGACGACATCGACCGCCAGCTCAGACTTCTATCAAGAAACACCCATCACTTGTCTAGCTATTCTACCAGTTTTCTCTCTGATTATTGTTTTTTGTTCAGATAAAATTTTTTGTTTTATCTGTGCTGATAGAATTGTTAATTGTATAGCATCCTGCCACAATGAATTGAAAATTGTGTTTTTCATTTCATCCATTATTATTATTTTTTTCACTTTTATCTTCTATTTTATTTTCATCCTTTCGTCATTCCGTATGCATCTGGAATAAAGTAGAATAAAATGTGAACTCCACGTTACAAATTTTGTTTTTGTAGCTTAACTTTTTTTTTTTTTTTCAGTTCCCATTCGTATTCGGATCACTAATCGATGTCAATATAAATGAAGGATATTTCTCACTGTTTAGTGCATCCCCTACCCCAATCCATTGATTTTGCAGCTTTTGCTGGCTCAGTGACTGTGATACATGCAATGTCCAAAATAAAACTGAACTTTTTAAGGGAAACACAAACTATGTAACTTTTAAGTTATATAGTTTACTCTTTAACTCAACTTTTACCCAAACTCTTTATTCAAAACATGCTCCTTTAACATTAGTACAATGCTGGGCACCCTTAATCGATATGCGGATAGGTTTTTGCTAGTCCGCTTTTAGGATGGCCTTCATGAACCTAGTCCCAATCATTTGTTCGTATTGTTATTCATTTTCGTATACAGTTCCTTTCATATTCATTTTTGAAATTACAAAATAGTCACGTGGTACTAAATCTGGGGAATAAGATTAATACTCAAAGACAGAAACTCCTCTCTTTAAAATACCGTGCAGATAATACGGCTTCGGGACATTTATACCGTCTGAAAAAAATGACTGATGAATGACGAATTTCGAATTCTTAAAAAAAAATTTGCAAAAAAAGTAAAGATATTTTCATTTTCTATTTCTAAAAATGCAGTATTTTTTGGCTTCCCAAGAGGTTTTCGTGATGCTTGATTTGAAAGTGCCGTATCACCAGGGGTGATAGAATCTAAGAATTTAAATGCTCATTTGTTTGTTATACGAAATAGATAGCGGTTGCCATTCGTTTGGTACATCTATGCAAATGATTCTTCAGAATCTTTAATAATTCTTTTAAAAAAACTTAATGTTGGTGCTCTGCTTCATTTTAATTTTGTGATAGTGTGCCAAGCACTATCTGCCGTATGAGAGGTGCTGTGGTGGGAGATTTCCTGAGGAAACTACACTCGTGTGCAAAATTAAGAAAATTTGTACTTTGTGGCGAATTTCTGAAATATTAATGGACAGATTTTTAATGAAATTAAGTACAAATATACATTTATAACAGAGAAAATTATATACCATTCAAAAGTCATTTTATGTACGCATGATTATCAGTCTGATGATGTAGGAATGTCTAAAATCCACGTTGTGATATGTATGAAATTGAGTGTAATATGAGTTATGGAGTGTAATAGGGTACAGCATGGCAGCATACTGGACTGGAGGCAGTTGAGGAATTCCTGTGACAGTCGATCCTATTCCTACTACAAGCAGTTTTCAACTGGAGATGGTTCTTGGACAGGGATGGGGAGATGAATTTGCACTTTCCAAAGCGTCCCAGACATGCTGTATAGGGTTAAGGTTAGGAGATCTGGCTGGACAATTTGTGAAGCGAAATCTTCACTCTCCAGGCAATCGTCGACCAGTTGAGCCCTATGTGGACAAGTGTTGCTGTCCATTAACAAGGATCTAGGACCAACTGCGCCTCTAAAAAGTCGAACATAGGTCTCTAAGATCTCCTCTCTATCCCCATAGCACTCAAAGAGCCTTTATCAAGCACATTCAAGGGTGTTTATCCAACATAATGCCTGCCCAAACCATTATACCTCCATCACCGTAATGATCCTTTTTCTTGATGACGAAGGGATGGTATCGTTTTCCAGATTCTCACCAGAAACAGGTACGCTGAGAATGAGTCCAGATTGAAGTTCCACTGAAGTCTGGTCCAAGGCGAATGTTGTTTGCCCCATGCTAAATGCACTCTCTTTTGTGTTGCAGTGAGCTGGACGTAAATAGCGGGTCTTCTGGCATACAGACCTATCTCTTGAAGCCCTGGTCAATTGTAAACTGTGAAATTTGGGTTCCAGTGGCAGCATACAGCTCATCCGTGAGCTAAGAAGCTGTAGCAGTCTTGTGTCGCCGTGCTGAAAGTTCCAAAGAAGATCTTCATTCGTCGTTGTCGATCTTTTTCGATCTTATCCAGTTCTTCTCGATATGAATAAACAATTTCGTAGCATCAGTTTGGCGCCCCTTGGATGCTTCGCCCGGGGACAGATGTCCCCCCTTGCCCCACCCTAGCTACGCCACTGTTTCTTTAGTAAATAAATTATTATTATCTTACTTTGCAGCTATTGTGCAAGTATTAGGAAATTTATTTCAATTTCAATAAATTTCAGTTCATTAATTCAATATATACATGTAAGAATATGTAGAAGATTAAAGTAGCAACGTACATTAATTTTCCTTCTGTATTCTAAAAATCGTAACCTCTATGTGCACTGCATCATTTCGAGACTATTCTATGTCATATCACTCTTACATAATTCTGATGATGTAAATGGAAATAAAATTCTAACAGTCAACAGTAATTTTACTGCAATATTAACTATCCAATCAAACTGCACCGAGAACCTAAACTAACTCAGACTGAATTAAGGTTTCATCCTGAGCATAATGCACTTGCTTTCTATGCTTTGGCCTGGCTGGACTGCTGTCTTGTCTGCTTTTGCTATCTTACTACAAATTTATCTAAAAATGTAAGCTTTTTGGAATAGGCACAATTAATGTGCCAACTTGATGGCAGCCACAACATGTTTGCTGAAATAAAAAATGAAGATTTAATCTGCCTTCACCTCCAGTTTCTTATTCATTATAAATCAACACTTCTACGCCATCGAAATTCTGCTCATCATTACTTCTAAGTTTGCTTTTATCACACACACACATATATATAAAACAGACTGAGAGTACTAAGTAAAATCAATCTAGAATTCTTTTATTGCAGATAAAATGTTGCTTGCTGTTGAATACCTAAGGCCAACTTTGGTAACAACAGAACACATTTATGGAAAAAATAGCATTGAATATGGAAATGAGCTGCAGAAATATTCTGATCTTCTTCTCAAACGCCATTGCTCAAACAAATCGTGAACATCTATGTAATGATCAAGAATACAGGTAAGAATTTTCATTAAAAATTACATAAGGCAAGACATTATACCGTATAAGTCTGTCTTTTTTTTTTTTTTTTTTCTGTGATGTAATGTAAATTAGCTAATATTATAAAACTTAAAATCTTTAATCGTTTTAAAATTTCCAGACAGTTTGGTCAAGATATACTAGAGAAAACTTGTAGCATAATAAACACAATAAACATCAATTCCTTAAAGTTCTGTGGCTATAAGAAACTTAATAAATATTAAATTACTAGCTGCTATATGGCCAGCCTAAGTCTGGTTTTTAAATGTATTGTAAAAATGCCTAAAGGGAATACCAAACATTAAATTAAAAACTGCACAGAATTTTACTCTGCAGAACAAACCTATAAAAAAATCAATAAAAATGTATCACATATTTAAAAAAATACAATGAAATAAGCAATATCTCTTAATACAAATAGTAATTATCCTAATAAATAAATTAACTAACTTCCTATTGAAAAATCTTAAGAATTCAAATGTGTAAAGGAAGTTAAGAACTTTGTTTCCTAAAAAGAAATCATGCAAAACTTTTTATATAATTAAAACATAATATAAAAAATTACAATGAAATAAGCAATAAATGTCATATTTTTCAAGAGAAAACAGTCAGCAGTATCAAAAACAATGAATGAAAAACTATCGCCAAAACCACATTTCTAAAAGAATGAAACTATCATCAGAAAGTAGTAACTAGTCAAAACTGTGCTTTGTGGTTGACATAATTCAAAATATACAAACCTCTTTGTCATTAGCTAATAAGGAGAGAGAGAGAAAAAGGAAATTCTTTCTGTTGTGCCTCGTGAGATGCATGTGCATCAGAATAAGATGTACATGTTGAGTGTGCAAAAATCAAAAGAAAATAAACAGCATGAAATAAGCATATTTTATCTCATATTTTCAACAGTCTGCAGTCCAGTATATAAAGCATTGAATGGAAAACTGTTGCCAAAACTATGTTTCTAAAAGAATGAAACTATTCAAAATGATGCCATTTCATCAAAAAAGACTAAATTAAAGAAAAAAATCTGATTTGAATTTTGAAAAAATCACTTCAGGGTGCACTGGCTCTTGTTTAGATGCACCCATGTACGAAATTTCATAGCCCTGGGTCTATTTATTAGCTTACGCCCAGCACGAACAAAAGATGCACACAGACGCTTTCTTTTATTATATGTAGAGATTGGTTGCAAGCAGCAAACTTTCTAACAAAAGATTGCAGCATTTGCAGTATTTCTAATACAGCTCTTTTCATAGGATATTATCATAAAAGTTAACAGTGGGTATTTTTATACAAATTGTTTTAAAATAAAAGAAACTGTTGTAGGGGAAGACTTAAAAACATAACTTTATTTCCTTTTTAGATGAGAAACTATCGTCTGTTAGAATATTCAGCTTACTGTAATATTTTTTTATTTGAGTAAATGACATCAGAGTTACTGAGAAATAAAATATTAAAAATAACTGAAAATAAAGTTTTATTTTTTAAGTTTTTTTTTTTTTTTTTTTTTTTTTTACAATTTACCAAAGATGTTGTTGTGGATTATGGGTGATTATAGTGTTTTTTTATGTAAATCAATAAAAAATAGTGAAAGTATGGAAACACTTAATGCATCTAATTTTATATATTGGCAACTTAATTTTAAGATGTATTCTAGAAATTTTTATCACCAGTTAAGATGACTTATGAATGATTTATATCTGATTTATGAATATATAGAATATATATAATTTTTCTCTTCTTCCCCTCCACCAGAAAACAATCATTATTCCAAATTCATTATTTTTTCTCAGAAATGTAATTTCAGAAATTGCTGTTCTGTTTTAATTTCAGTAAATTATGCTACAAATAGTATATCTTTCAACATTTTTAAGTTCAGTTTAAACTAAACTTTGTACTTTTCTGTTGCAGAAGTAATTTTATGTGAATCTTGATTTAAATTATTGTTAGAATTTTCCATGGTGAATTTTGTAATTGTTGTCTTTTTCTTCTTTTCAAGGTAAAAAATAGTCAAAGACTTAATTTACCTTTTTTAGTATTTAGCATTGAAACATGTGAAGCATAAATTTCTGCATCTTTCACCGTTATTTTTTCAGTTTTTCACAATACAGATTATTGTTTATTTTAAAGAAAAATGATACAGCAGTTTTCTGACATTATCTTTTAGCCTTGTAATTAATAATTATATAAATTTTGTAGAGTTTTGAAACTCGCAGCTTGCTTCATCTATACTTCAATGTAATCACCCAGACACAAGTGACAACTGCACACATTTTTGATTGTCGTGCTTTCCTTGCTATTTGCTTGCTTTGCTAAATTTGGGTCTTGTTTAAGAGAATTGCAGCTCTATGATGATAACATTTTGCAGATTGCCAGGGTTGTCAACTTCGCCCATGTCACTATTGGGATGTCCTTTATCAGAGACACGACAACAACTACAGTCACCATTTCTGTGAGGTATTTCAGAATGGATCAGTCGACTGAACATTCAGAATATCTCATAATAAAAAGGAATGAGGAACTGCAGCAGAAATTTTCTTGTGGTTTCTATAAGAACTCTTATTTCTGCAGTTTTCTTTCCTTAATTTTTTTTTTTTCTTTTTTGAATGGATATTTTTTAGGTATTTTATTATTTTATCCTTTTTTCAGCTGTTGCTTCTTTCTGTGCATAATGGCCATTTCATGAAATTTTGTTGCAAATTAAATTTGAATTCGTCTTTAGTTTTTTCCAAATTCACAAGATCTTTCTAATGATGTTTTTCCCGTATTTAAAAGACTATTGCCATTTTAATGTTTTATTAATTTAGTATCAGTTATTTCTAAGGGGGGGGGGACTATGTAAAATTATTTTTGCAAAACAATCAATAATTCTTAGTTCAAAGGTGCATTGACAGCATACTCATGTTGTTAACAATTTAACTATAATAACAAGACGAGATATTAAGAGTGGCATGCAATTCCACAAGCCTTGATCAATACTTTGATAAAGTCCCTGAAATCAAGATGTGAGGTATACATACATGTGCAAAATGAGCACACACCGTATTAAAGAAAAAATTGTCTACAAGAGGTGAATTAGTTTTTCCATCATTTTTTCAGTTTCCATAAATTTGAATTTAATTTCAATATTTTGTGAATAATCAACTGCCAGACATTGTAATTTATGTTAATTAATGCTTTTGTACAGATTTCTATTTATAATTTTTAATTTAGTCTCAGTTTTATTTTATTTCTGTAATTATCTTTTAATTTTGATGACCGGTAAAGCAGTTTCCGAAAATTATTATTGAATTAATTAGAAGTTATCCAATGAGAAATTTATTAGCTAAAACTTGATGTATCTTTATAAAAATAATGCTAATAGTATTTTTATAATATTTCTTTCTTTTCAGGGCTTAAATTCATAATTAAGAAATGTTGGGGAAAAGAAAGCTATATTTTTTATGAAAATATTTATGCACATTTTTTAGAATGTAGTTGTGATGTTTCAACTAGAACATCTTTAGTGTTATAGACTAAAAAAAGATGCTTATAATTTAATTTTAAATGTTTAGGTAGGAAAATGGTTTTAACAGTGTGTTTCCTCTGCAACATGAAGTACCTGAATCAGCAGCCAAAAAAAAAAAAAAAAAAAAGTGTAAATAATATTTTAGTGTTAAAAAAAAAGTTGGATTTTTAAAATGTGATTTATAACAAGTGGTAATGCATGATTTATTTTAACATTTCTGAAATTAAGACTACAAGAACATATAAAAAAAAAAAACAATGAACTCATTATGTATTTCTGTGTGAGTTGACTCATTTGCATTTTTTCAGGAAAATTAAATGCTGCAAATTAAAAGATTATCGTTCTTAGACAATTCATCCAAAGGGCCCCTGTATAATGCTGTAGGGAAGTTGGCGCAGCCACAGTCTGTGGCCTGAGTTTGAATGCAAAGAAGGCATGGATGTTTGTAAATGAATGGTGTCTTTATGGCATGGGGACACAGAAAATGTTGTCATACGAGCTCTCTCGAAAGTTTGGTGGTAGGGGAAGAGGGCTTGGATACCATCAGATCAGTCTTGAAACAGTAATGGTGCATTTCCTTTCACATGGGTGTAATTCAATCAACCACTGCAGTACATCTTGAGCTACATTCTCAGTGATAAATAACCAACTGGTTCAGAATGCTGTCCAGTAGCAAGTTGTTTGGCTATTGAGTGGGTGAAGACAAACCCCCAAAAGGAGACAGCTGTTGCATGCGTTTTGCATGCTTTTCTTCCATACAAATGTAGTTTATTAGTAAAGATGAAAAAAGTTAAAAACAAAGATAAAAGATATAAGTAATATGATCATGTTTATAACCATGAAACTGGAAATATATATTATTTTCAAATTCTGAAAATGTATATTACTGTAGGCCGTAATATATTGTTTAATTTATTCTATATCTTGTAAATCTTATTTTATATTACTGTATGCCATAGTGTATTGTTTATTTTATTCTGTATCTTATGAATCTTATTTTCTATTTTATATTTCATTGCATAGGAATTTAATTGAAGAAACGCGATCTGTCCTTGAAAAGTCTTATCATATTTTCTCCATCCATTATGGTCCACATCATGAAGCACTAAAGGAACTGAAAGATAAGCAGAAACAGCTTGAAATGTTTGCTGAACAGTAGTTGAAACAAATATTGCATTTCAAATCCAAATTTCTGCAGCATCTTGCTTGAAGCCTTGATGCTGTTTTTGCTATGCTCAGTATTTTCAGCATGCAAGAGTTTTGGTCAAAGTTAACTTTTGTTGGATATCAATTAAGTGATGTGTGATATGTACAGGGTGTTTAAGAGAAGTTAAAATGATGTCTGATATTATTCATTACTTTTTTTTTTTTTTTTTTAATTTGCTACAAAAATGTATCAAACCTTGATTTGTGAATAACTAAAAACATGTAATGTTTGCTTGTTTAGTTTATTCTTTGTAAGCACCATGCTATCCACAAGCTAATCATTGCAATTGTTTATTGATCTTTTTTGGTTTGCTTCCTCATAAACAAATCATTATAGTAATTTTTTTTCAAAAGGGTAGTTTTTCAGCCCTAATAAATGTTTTCACTGCATGGGTAAATTAGTAATATTATGTGATTCTAATTCTTAACAAATAGCATAAATTTTGGCTTTTGTGACCTGGTTCCATCCATAGTGGTTAAAATAAACCACTTCTCATTCCTGAATATGAAATAAGTTTGGGTAATAAAATTTCTGAAATATTGGACTTTTGCAGTGACCAGTTGTACAGAACTGTATAGTTTCTTATAAGAAATATTATTTGTGATTATTTGTATATGAACAGGCTATTATGTAATTTAAATAAAATTGTATTGATACTTATTTTTATAACAGCAGGAAAGAGAAAAGCACAGCATGGCATTTTCTAATGAGAAGGAAAGTCAGATATTCTTTAAAATAGTTATTCAAATTTATTTTATTGTGACATTTTAAAGAAAGGAGGTGTAATCATTCTTCTGAATGTGTAGGGATAATTTTAGCTTTATATTTTGTGAACAGATTTTTGTATTTCCTTTTTTTAAAAACTATATTGATTAATCAAAATTCCACATAAATAAGTCTGGTTTCTTTTAATAGTTCTTTCTTTTCTTTTTCTTTCTTCCCCCCCCCTTTTTTTAAATATTAATTTCCTGATTCTAAAATGTTAACTGTCTTACAAATTCTTTTGTGAAATTATAATAAATGATTTGCCATATTTGTGTTAAAATGACACTGTCAGGGTGAAATTATCTTTTAAACAAATTATCTGAACATACTATGGATTTTAAATACCTCAGTTGACTTAAAAGCATATGTATATAAAGTACGGAGTACAAGTCGTATTCTAGTTCCAACAAGAATTTTAGTCACTCTAGTAGTAGCTGACTAAAGAAGAAAATTTGGAATGGTAGGGAAGCTCCTGTATTACTACCGTGTTTGATCAGCAGATTCTGGTTATCGCCTAAGCCATCTGATTTAGGGAAGCCCTTAAGTCATCTTATAATTCCTTATAATACTGCTCTTGTCTTATAAAAACAAGTAAAATGGCCATTAGGAACCCGATAAAATACTCTGCATAGGGCATCAGATTGTCTTCTCTATTAGCCAAGATAATACATATGAATATCTTGCCTGGCCTTTGTGTTAATTTTTAACTTTAAAACACACCAGCAAGCAGCATTTTTATAATATTTAAAAAAAAGATTTAACAATAATCCAAAAAGCAGAATAAGCTTCTCGTGTTAAAATTCTGTCTACTATATTGGTGACTGTTTTGTTTTTATAAATTTTCAATCTGTGCCGCTTGCTTTGTAAGCAGATTTTCTGTTTATAATTGCTTAGACAAAGTATCAGTATCTGTTTTATGCCATTCTATCATTTACCTTTTCCAGAAGAGTTTTACATTATGCAGTTCTTCCTCATTTTCATTTGTGCTATTTATTCTTTTTGAGAATAGTAAGTATATTGCTCTCATTTTGTTTCTTAATATTGCTACAAATCACCAGTCCCCCATTTTGGTATTTTATATTGGTATTTATGTTAAAGAATTTTCAGCCTAATTATAGATTAAAATATATAGAAGAAAGTTATCCTGAATCGAATAATCAAGCATCAGATATTCGAACATTGGTTTATCTGACATCCACTCGTTTTAAACTGCTTAAATCATTATTTAAAATATAAACAACAAAACATCAACAATTTAATCTAGATTATCTGAGTTAAAATATAAAAGCAATGTGAAAAGCATTATTCATTTGTAATATTTCACTAGTTTTCTGTTAACTCAGTTATTGGTGTATGATCTTCACACTATATAATTTAATAGTAATTTAGATAGTATAGGTAATAATCTATTTTTAAGGCATTCTGCAACATTATAATCTATTAAATAGCTTGTCAAAAAGTTCATTTGAATAATCAAATGGTGCTAAAAGAATATTTCATTTTTTAACCTCTTTCCTCTTGATGCAGAGAGAATGAATTCCTATGTAACTTTAGAGCGATGAACTGAGTGTATTTTGCATTTGAGTGCAACCCTCAAAGAAAGTCCTGTAAAATATGACTTTTATCAAAATACTTGGATCCTTGAATATTTATTATTTTTCAGTATAATAAAGTATTAATATTTAAAATTAAATTTTAAAATAAAGTGCAGCATTAATAATGATTATATTTACATATTTGAATTACTTCCATGCAGTAATGAAGGGGGGAAAATTAAGAATTTAACTATCCATATATATTATAGCCTGCCATGATATATATTTAAATTAAGCTGCCACACTGTATGAAACATTTCTGAACTCTGAATATGCATTGTACATTTTACATTGGTAGAAGAAAACAGTAAATAATACTCATAATAAAACAGTTAAAGACATTCCATGTAGTTAAGTTTCAGGCATATTGACATAATTTTTGTGCATTTAAAATGTCAAGTACCAGTTAAACTTCATTTCTGAATCATATCTGATAAGATGGGCTCAGGGAGGGAAGCTAAAGTGTAACATGTGATATGCTGTGAGCAAAAAAGTTATTTTGAATGTAATGTTAAAATATTTGAAACATTTCTGATTTAAAAATTATTAAAAGTAGATTTTGACTTGAAATGAGGGATTTCTTTTGAATACAGTTTTGTTGATTTATGCATGTATAATATATAATATTATATAATATTTATTTTATAAGATTTATTCAGGTATTATTTATGTGTATTTATTTTGAATAATGATTATTAAATTTTTTGCTATGTTAATAATGGCATCTTCTTTGCCAAAATATTAGTTTCTAGTTTGTAAAATTTAATGCCTTCAAAAATTGTCAATGCTTATCTCTAATTCCTGTTGAATATTTATTGTTCCTATCTTACCTCCTGTCCAGTAAATGTTGTTAAGAGAAACATTTTAATGTGAAGGCTTAAGACAATTAGTTTTTTCATTTAATTTCTTTCATAATGTATTTAAATATTTGTGCTAAAATGAAACTAATGCAAACAATTTTGTTAAAATCTGTTTTCAGTATATGAAGCCAGATCAAAATATCTATGTCTGCTCCCTTTTTCCTTTTCTTTATGAGTAATTAATTACATTTTGATCCTAAAAATTTCTACATTATCTGAATTAAGTTTTTTCCCCCCTATTTGCCTTTTTGTATGTATTATAAGTTGTATATATTTTTTAACATAATGTTTTAAGTTTTATGCAAAAATGAATATTGTGTTTGATAAATAAAAGAGATTAGATTCTTACATAAATTGTGTGTAATTAATAACTTTCATTTAACACCCTGTGTGTAACAGGATCACTTGTATAATATATATATATGATATACAATGCTGTATATAAAGGATCTCATGTTATGCTGTTTATATTCCATGTTTTAGAATGAGAGCCGTAGCTTTCTCAAGCTTTAGCACAAATATCTGTATATTTTTGTACAGTTAATATTGGAAAAGTTTATGATATGTTCTTGTAGCAGATATGAAGGTTCATGAATTGTAATGTGATATAATTGATGCCATTATACTGGTGCTGACTTGCATTTTGAAATTGAATTTTTGATCATGAGACAATATTATACAATGGTGCATTTTTATTTATCAACAGTAGCATTTATTTGGGAAATAAGTTAAATAAAAAGTATGGATTGGCAAAAATCCACAAATTTACTTTTGTATTATGTGCATAATTGTTGTGTTAATATATCTTCCTATAAAGCTGTAATTTACTGAATTATATTTTGCAGTCTGGGATATAAGAAGTGACACATTATCAAAAATAATGTCTTGATATCATTATGTATTCAATTTTTAATATGCAAGATCTTTTTCCTATTTCTCAGTACATTACAGTATGTGAACATTCATCTCTGTTTTCTGGCCTTTATAAAACTATGTTAATGTGAAGTGTTACTTTTCACATCTTAATGTTAAAGACAATCTGATTCTTCATTATAAGCATGCTTAATTTGTGTTCCATCTCTATTCTTTGATGTTTTTTAATAGTGTTATATTGAAGTGCTTGAATCTTTTTTCATGCATCATACTGCTAATGTTTTAGTTTTGTTTTCCTAGAATGTCCGTTATTCCGTCCTTTTGTCCAGATTTAATTCACAAATGAAAAACACATAATTTAAACATGGCATTTTAATTTTGCATGAGATGTATTGAAAAGGATGTAATCAAATTTGCTAAAACCTGTAGAATTTTATGTTTATAATTTTCTCAGTATAATTAAATGTTAATGTTGTGTAGTTCTTCTGTATGTAGCTTTAAAGGAATGAGATGTTTTAATGTATTTATTACAAAGTATTTTGGAAGAGGTTAAAACTGAAAATGTTGTCGTGTGGATTAATTTTGTATTAGTTTCATAACTTACAAAAGCTGCTAAAAATTCTTAAGAAACCGAAATAAGTTTCCAGTTTAATATGAATTTTTCACAAATTTAATAGGTTTCTAGATTTCTCAAGTTCTGTTTTATTCAGAATTTGATTGCATATTCTCTGTACCTTTGAATAAAAATTAATAATAAATCCAATTATGAGTTGGAAAACAACGCGAGAAGCCATAAATTGCTAAAACAAAGCAGGGAATTTTGCATACACTTTCACTTTTTTAGATTTGTAGCCTTATATGTTATGTCTGTTTTATTAGAAGCCTTAATATTTGTGTGAAAACCATATTTTTATAATTATGTTAATTTATTTATAATTATTATTTTTAAAAAAAGTATCTTTTGTCGTTATTGCCATTGATTATATTTCAGAGAAGTTGTGCAAGAAACCATTTCTTAATTTCATTTAATCTTTGTTATGAATGGTGATTAATTTTAAAATTAATTCACACAAATTAGCTTTTTATTATAGGTATATAAGGTAAAGATTACAAAAACAAAACAAACAAAAAATTGGCTCCAAAATTTTAATCCAAATAATGAATCTTCAATGAATTTTGTTTTAAAAGATACATATTTTCAAAGAAGTTTCACAAATTATAAACAAAAACACATGGTGACAAACATACAGTATGCAACCAGGAAAACAAAACAAAAAAAAAAAAAGTATTAATTCTAAAGAATAAATTTGCATTTCAGCAGTCATTAAAGAATCAAAAATGTAAACTATTTCTGTCATTATTTTTGTAAAGCTTTCACAAAATAAATATAAAACTATTTATTTAATAGATTTTGATGTTGAGAAATTGTCCATACATGCATCGTTCCATTAATATTCATAAATTTAGTCAACAAAATTATTACAGGTCTTAAGCTATGCAGCATATGTTTTAACATGATGCTTTTAATCAAAATGAATTTCTAAATTTGTGCATTTTAAAAACAGAGGATTTATGCATCTCCTTTTTTGAATTAATACTTCAAATTTTTAAATTGAGACACATTTGCTGTTTTTCTTTCTAAAATAATATAAAAAAAAAATAAATAAATAAAAAAAAAATTTTAAAAAAAAATTTAAAAAAAAAAAAAAAAAAACAGTTTCTTTGTTTGTTAAATGCATATTCTTCCCCCTACCTCTTCTAAAATCAAAATTTCTTTGTACTTAAGCAAAACGTGCACATTTTTCATGCAAAGTTTAATACTGTGCCTTATAAGTAAAATGAAATTTCTTGCAGTGTTTCATGCTGTGAAATGTTTTATCATATTGCACCTTTACTGTGATGCAAATTTGCCTCCTATTTGTGAAAATTTCTTAGTAATCTCTGTGTTGCTTATTTTAAAATTTTATGAATATTTGATATAGTTTTTCAGTTGCGGTGATATTGTTATTCAGTTGAGTGTGGATTGCTGCATACTTGAAGTTGTAAAGCTACTGCTTATTGAATTCCAACCTTTGATCAAATTTTCTCATGAAATTTTGCATGCATTTTAATATTTGTAATGTTTTTATATATTTAAAAAATATGTTATATTTTTATCTATGTCTGTCAGCATGTTAATAATATGGCAACAGATCAACCGCATTTTTTTAAAATATGTCTGTATGTTCCACCAAGGTTTTAAATTTGTATGAAATAGCTACAGTAAAGAATGCAGTAAGAAATAAAAGGCTTCAATGATAACTTGTTGAAACATTTGTCTACCTGTAGTTAGTTATGTTTGTATTTTATTCTTCATGTATACATAAGTATTTTGTTGTATTCAGTTATATAAATTATGTTTGTTCTTGTTTGTTTAAAAACATGTATAATTTCAGCTAGTCTTGTTTAAATACCTGTAGTCACACCCTCATGTACACTCACACACAAATGTATTAATATGTTTTTTTATATATTAGAAGCACATTTTTTATGTTGTTATTTATTTATAAAAATTAGCTTAGCTGGTGTCATCCTTGCCAAGAGTTAAATTAATATACTTTTAACAGTTTTATGTTTTAAAACATTTAAATGTATATTAAGTACATTTCTAAAAGGTGGTATAGCTTTTGATTAACATTATAAGTTACATATTGCTTAATTTCCATACGTGTCCTATTAATTATTTTGATGAGGCCTTTAATGACATTTTGATTAGAACTCTTGATAAAAAAAATTTATAAATGGAGAATATTAATTTATATAGCATCTAATTCTATTATTAAGCCATGAATAACTTTTATGAGTTTTCATAGAAATGCTGCAGCAATGAATTTTATTATGTTAATTTATGTATATTTTAGCTCCACTTAAAATTAATCTCACTACTAACTAGCAGTTTGCTATATTTATTGTAAATATTATGCTAATGAACAAAACTTTAGAGCACGTCTGTCAAATCTGTAGTTAAATCTCTTTGAATTAAAATATAATATAGGAAATTATATTAAATAGTTTAGACATTCTCATAAGCTTAGACCTTTCCACAGAAATAAAGAAAATTAAGTAAATTCGGAGTTTTAGAATAATTTCTATTTGTGCTTAGCTTATTTCTTCAAATTTTCTCTATAATGATATTTAGAATTTCGAATGAGAATCTTAGTATAGAAAACTGAAATTTATGAGGTTGCTGCTGCCTGAATTTGCTAAATTTCGTTTTCTTTTTAATTCTAGTTTTAAAACACTTTTTGTTCTGAGTAAAAACTTTTATTTTGGATTTTGTGCAATAGGTAAGTTTACATGAACTTTAAAATGTTTGTTTGTGTATTTGTAAAGCTGTTTTATCAACATTTGTAAATAGTGTATTTAATAATATGTTTAAAAGAGGAATTTATATTTTATGAAAAAAGAATGTAAAATATAAAGAACTTTCATATGAAAACTATATGGTATAACTACAAACTGTGATGAATTGTATAGTATCAGAATGAAGGCAGTGTAAGATCAGTAAATGGATATTCTTTTTGGATTATAATAATATTATTTTGGAACTTGAGGATGTTTATTTCAATCCATATATTGTGAAACAGAGCTCATAATTTTATGAAATTGAATAAACTAATATTTAGTATATAATATGCACTTCTTAAAAGCAGAAACCTTCAGAATTGAAATTTTTAAATTTGTTATTTTTATAATAGTTTATTTACAATGTTCGTAAATGCTGAATTTAATTATAAAATTTGATCAGTAATCAATATATTTTTTTTTTTTTTTTTTTTTTTTTTTTTTTTTTTTTTTTTTTTAATTCTGAAAATTTAAGCATCTCCTTTCTTTACAGAAGGGAGAAATTTTTTTTAATGTAATCAAATAATGATAGCATCAATTTCATATTATGTATAAAAAATTTTCATTTATAGCTTTCAGATTTGATTTATTTTCAAAGAAGATGGATCTCTTTTAAACAAATTATGTCCTTGATTCTTGTAACTGAAAACTGAAATTACTTTTTCAGTACAGTTGTAGTTTTTCCTTCAAAGTTGTGCTAAGTAAGAATTATTCACAAATTCACGTGCATTACATTCCTTGAATTTTACTAGCATTGCATTCTTCCCTATCTGTTAGTTGTAACTTATATACCTCCTCATAGGTTAAGATTAATTTGACATCATCCATAAATTATTTTCTCTGAATAAGTAGTAATTTGACCTATATATGATTTTATGTGTAAGGTATGAATCTTTTCAAAGGTTGCTATAGACTGTATTCTTTGCTCTTAATCTTTAAATATTCCAGCTTTCTGCGAGTATGCAGTACATTTATGTGAAAGGATTATCGCACATTTGTAAATAGTCTCTACTGTTCTCATTCTCTCTTATCCAAGTAAATCACAAGATTGTATCAGTCGCTTTTTATTGAATTTCCAAGATTGTAATTAACATCCACTGCTCAAATAAAATTGATCAACAGATAATTGTTGCTGTTTTTCTCCTCCTGTTGATACTATATATATACAAGGTGTTTCAGCAAATTGGTTGCAAACTTTCAGCAGAGATAGAGTACACCTAGTAATTCATGGCCGGAAACATTTTCCTGGCACGCTAGTGACAACACAAAAACAAGAAAGGAAGGACATGAATAGAGTGAGAATAATGTTTATTATAATTAGTGCTGCTGCGGAAACCAAGAAATAAGAACTAAAACAGATAATCGTCATCAAAGAAGGTGTTTGAAATTACGACCTGAACTATGATGCAGGAACCGTATGCCATGTATCTTTCATGTGAAAGAGATGTGATACCTGCATTGTGATCTGGGATCATAATTTTGAACACCTTTTTAATGACGATCATTGCCTGTTTCGGTTTGTATTTGTTGGTTTCTGGTGTACTAAAGACAATAAAATATATTTTGTCATACTGTTGGTGTCCTTCCTTTTTTGTGCTTTTTGTCGTCACCACCACGCCAAGAAAGTGTCTCCGACCATGCATTGCTATGTGATTGTCCATCGTCAATGTGTACTCAATCTCACCTGAAAGTTTGTAACTGATTTTCTAAATACAGAGCCTTATTAATAAAATTCAAGATATATTGGCACAAATGTAACATGTGCTTCACTTTATGAACAATATCATTCTTATTCGTGAGGGTTAACGGTGTAAATCGTGAAGTTGCATGTGCTATGATTTGCACTGGCAATTTGATGAAAAACTGACATTACACTAACATTTTCAAATCTGATAAATTACACACAATTGTAAATGAATTTTTAATATAAATAACTAACATATAACTGAATAACTAAAATAATTTAATGAATTTATTTATTTATTTATTTATTTGGTTCCATCGAATTTCTTATGCACTTAATGCTATTATATATGACTATAGCGAATTTCCAAATGCGTGAAAATCGAATATAACAAACTTTATCTTAAGCTGATTTTTTTTTTTTTTCCAGACTATCTACATGTTTCAACTGAAAAATTAATAACCCTTAAAATCGTGTATGTTAGGATCTATGTTGGGGTAGAGAAAAACATTTTTGCATTCATGTTTTTTCTTCTTTTTTTTTTTTTTTTTTTTTTTTTTTTTAATCTTTATCCCTAACTTTGTGTGCTTTAAACAAAAGCTGTATGTGGCAAATTTACAGGGTGATCAGCGAAAAAGCCCTGATTTCAAAAATAAATATCTCTACAACAAAGATCGATAGAATTATGTGGTAAACTGTACGTTTATTAGCAAAACTGTAAAAATGGTGTACAAAAGTTTAGAAAATTTAGTTACAAAAATCATTAACAGATGGTGCTCTGCACTGAAAACTCTTTCTCTGAAAGAAGTCTAGAAAAAACAATAAAGTGAGGCAGCCTTTGCAATCAAAATACAATTTTTTCAAAATGTGTTCCGTTCGAAAGAATGAGGTGGCGTAAACGAACAATGAAATTTGAAATCACGTCTTGCAATGTCTTAACGGAAATGGTATTACATGCAACACCACTCAACGATTCAAGCTCATCTAGAGTAGCGAGATTGTTTCGATAGACAGTGTCTTTCAATGCGCCCCACAGAAAGGAGTCGCAAGCACTCAGATCGGGAGAATATGAAGGCCAGGCTATTCCTATGTCAGTAAATCGCGGATAATCTAACGCAATTACTCTATTCCCAAAGTATTCATGAAGAAAGTGAAAAACTTTATCTGTTTGATGTGGTCGAGCTCCATCTTGCATGAACCAGTCGATCCTCCAACGCTAGTTGAGTGTTGACAAATTGTTCCAAAATTGTACGGTTAATGTTCAGTAGTTATCGTTTCTCATACAAAAAAGTGTCGATAATGCCTTAGGCGCATATAGCAGCCCATGCAGTAACTTTAGGTGAATGCAGGGCTTTTTCTTCAAACAAATAAGGATTTTCGGAACTCCAAAATCTCCAGGTTTGTTTATTAACAATTCCAATCAAATGAAAATGGGCCTCATCTGTGAACCAGATGCAGCTCACATCAAATCTGTCGTTATCGATCATTGTTAGAGTCTAATTCGCAAAGTCAACCCTTTGTTGCACAGCTTTCATAGGTATGGCCTGATGACTTTGGATTTTGTATGGAAACAGCTGTAGGCTATTTTTTAATATTTTTTGCATACTTTAAACCTGTCTCTTATGCAATCCGTCGGATGCCTTTCTTAGGATTTTACTGAACAGTTCCAGAAACTTTGGCTGCATTTTCAGGAGTGACTACAGTTTGGCTAGGCCCAACATTTCTCTTTCGATCATCAGCCAGGCTGCCAGTCCGTTCGAATTTCATGCAAATGGTTTTCGCATCGGGTCCAACTAGAACATTGAATCGGTTTTGAAAACTGCGACGTGTTGCCTAGGACACAGTTCTAGGTGAAGTTCCAGAACCAAAAAAACACATTGTTCAATGGAATACATTATTTCACTTTCTACGCTAGCCTCTTTTTCACTAGCCAACAGACGTATTGATCACTTTCGACTTCGAAGCACATTTTAAAGGCTATTGAGAGGTCATTGTGATTAGAGCGCCATCTGTTAATGATTTTTGTAACTAAAATTTGTAGTTTTTTGTACACCATTTTTACAGTTTTGCTAATAAATGTACAGTTTACCACATAATTCTATCGATCTTTGTTGTAGAGATCTTTAATTTTGAAATCATGGCTTATTCGCTGATCACCCTGTAATATGCAATTCTTAAAGAACCAAGATGTTCAGAAAAGCATATCTTGGGATTCAATATGATGTTCATGGCCATAGATTCTTAGGAACTTGTTGCTGTGTAGATGATTCGTCTTTTAGAGAGTGGAATTTTTTTTTTTTTTTTAATCTTTTTCCTTACCACTTAAAATACTTTTCAAGTTCTATTTTTTTTTTAATGAAGAGGGTTTACATAACTTAAGTTTTTGCAAAATTTTGGATTTTCTTCATAACTGCTGTTTCCCAGGATATGAATATGTTCTCATTGGACACTGGAGATTGGATAGTTTAGTAATAATATTGTCTCCCTTTTTCATTTTTCCAGAAGAGCGAAACTTTATATAATCTTTTACCTAACTCTATTCATTCAGCAATGGTGAAAATTTTCTGTGTTAAAAATTCTTTTCTATAGAAAGCTGTAAACATAAGGCGTTCTGTATTGATAACAAGGTCAACGTTATTTGCAAAATGCTTAATGGATGTAGCCAAATGGATTTCTATAGTTGATACTAAAGTCAGTAAACAAACAACATCAGCTTTTCTCAATGGCGATGCCCAATACTTATATTAAATGGGAGAGAAAGAAGTTAAAGGGAATAGTTTCTTTTGAGCAAACAAGAACAAATCTTGCAGTACAAAAATATCAGTTAATATCATGGTTAGAAATCAAGGCTCTGTGTTTTCTGCCTGCGGAAGAAATTTAAGGGAAAATAAAGTTGAGAATGAAAGGCCAGACATAAAGATAGTGACGAAATATTGCTAGAATGTCACTATTCAAAGGAATCGCAGTCTGCCCGTATCAGATAAAAAATCATTGAATTTGCTTAACGCTGTAAGAGATTGCCTATTTGTGATTAAATGACTGATAGAATTGTCGAAGAATCAAAGAGTTTCAAAATCAGAAATCAAGCAATGGAGAAAAAAATTGCGACGATGCCCCCATCCCCTTGTCGCCAGTAAAAAGGAAGAGGCCTTTTCAATGTTGGTGAAACTGGAATGTTGTACAAGGTAATGTCAAACCAAGCATTTAAATTTAAAAAACATGCAATCATTTATGCAAATTGTCAGAAGTGTGAATCATAGTTCTTGTCTGTGCCAGTATAAATGGCTTTGAGCGCCGTAAGTTTTTGGTGATTGGAAAATCTCAGAATCTGAGATGTTTAAAAAATGTTAATCTTTTTTCAGCACATTTTAAGCATTTGAGAATTACAACTTTTAAATAGATTATAACGCTTTAATTCTTGCTAGTGCTAGAAAAGCTTGGCGACTTGTTACAGACTTAGACATCCAAAATTGATTTCCACACACTGTTCTATCAAAGGATGTTGAAAGGAAAAATGAAAATTTGCTTATTGTCAGGTGGCTAGAAAAATCTAACTTTTCAATATTTTTAGACTAGCATGGAGTTTGTCCACACATATGATGACGATGTTGTTAGATGCAAATATCTGAGTGATGACTGCAGGGGTGTTTCTGCTCCGGGGAAACCCTGGAATTCGGGGGATTTTGAACTTCGATACCCGGATATTCCGGGGATCGTCGTTCAAAAGGAAGTAGGAATAATAATGAATTATTTATTTTGATCTGGGTAATTTTGTTTGCTTTGAAAGCAGAAAACGCAAGGTCAGTGTGTGTGGTGAAAACTTTTCCTTTCTTTCTCCAAAGGCAGTGATAATGCGTGAAAAGGGGGGAAAAATTCTTTTTTGTTCTTTCCTTATTGCGAGTTATGACTCATTCCCCCGGTTCTCGGACATTCTCTTCTGGATTCTTTTCGGCAAGTAGGCGTGGCAGGAAAAAAAGGGAGAGACTTCGTTCGACCAGATGTGCGATCACGTGACTCTGGGTTCAAAGGTCTTATCTCTCCTGGCGTGGCGCCAATAAGTAGAGAAGGGGGATTTTTCGCCGTATTAGCTATTTGTCATTGATCGCTTCTCAACTTTTTTTTTCTCCGCTGTGTAAAATTTTTCCGTTTCATTTATTGATGCACGTGTAAATTTTTCGTTTCGTTTATTGAAATATTTTTTTATTTATGTACGCAAGAGAATTTCACTATGAAATTTCTCGATATAAATAGTGATATTATACAATTAGAAGAAGGTGTCCGGAATGCATTTAGGTGGAATTGGATTGAACGGAGAGATGGTAATGGGGATACCATCGGCACATGGTGCAAGAAAATAAATGTTGCTGGACAAGCATATTGTGTTTTTTGTAACTCACTGCTGAAGTATGGTGGAGAAGGATTCAAGGCTTTCACAAATCATT